GTAGGCATTTCTCAACGATTGACTGTAACCTATTGTATAATTAGTCAATAAATTCATCATTGTAATCGTTGGTAGCCTCACAGAATTGTATGAAGTTCATTGCAATGCTCTATTTCTTTGTTTTGAGAGAGGCTTTGACGATCATTGGTCAATGAGATTCACATAAGTGCTTTTTGTGCAGGTCCGGATTGCATCAGTGCAACTGCTCGTGTATGTGGAGCATTTTGTTCTGCATGTTAGGAGTAAAACAGCAGCTCTCTTGAAGCTAGACATTGGTGTCCAACCTGTGTCTAATATGTTACACTGACTGCAAACACCTCATGGTTGTATCATTTCACTTCATCTGCAATTCGGATCACTCTCCCGGTCTCCTACATTGTACTTACATCCCACAAACCTGAATTAACGGTGGCCTGGATGTCGGAAGAGGCATCAGCCTAGTGAATTCCGGAGGTTCTCGGCTTTCATCATGAGATGTCATAGGTCTTCTAAATGAAGACCTACTAAATCACACGGCAGACTTTAAATGGATTGAATTACTATTTGTGATCAGCGATTTTCAACGAGTTTCACTTCTACGCGATAGGTTCACTGACACATGTCCAACCGTCCAAATTTATCTGCGGGTGGGATAGTGTTACGTCCAAGTTTTGCCCGTTCCAGTTGTTGAAGTACGGATTATCGATCTACTTGCAATATACGAACCCAAATTAACAGAGCCAAGCTACAATTTAGATACCAAATTTATTCGTAATTCACAAATAATCGACCAAATGTCGTTCTAACAACAATAATTATAACAATTACAAAACAAACCTTCAATTTTGTAGGTTCCCGGAGCAAAACTTTCAAATACCTAACCAAAGACAAAGAGAGCACAAAATTACCAAACCGAAGACAAACCAAAATGTCCGAAATAATGATATAAACAAACAAGTTCAAAAGTTAAGTAAAACAATTACATCCGAAATCACAGTAAATTAATAATGTACAACAAAAGGTTTTGATCCGCCAAATGTCTTCGGTTCACCCGTAACAGATAGTCAGTATCACCAGAGGGACTCCGGGCGGAGACACTTTACGACATATTCAGGCGTATTCAATACTCAAAAAACATACATTTTGTCAACATTAGAATGTCTTCACAGGAACTTATAGACAAATCTGTTAGTACGTTTATCATATAACTTTCCGGCTATACAATGTCTAATGATACATGATGAAGACAAACCAACATTCATTGAATTATATATGAAGCGACTTAAATAAAAATATTTGTGATTCGAGCGGACAATACAGTTTCATGTGAACTACAGTGTTCTGTAATAAGATGACCAAAATCCGGTATTAGTTCGCAGACGCTGCACGGTATATGTCAACGCATTTCCTGAAGTGTTCGCTTAGTTCAATTATTATTCTATGATAAAGAGACTCCAATCCGCATGATCCACCACAGTCTCAATGACCAACACACACAGGAAGTGACAACTAGGCGAGTCTAGAATATTCGTGAGTAGTAACTGTCGCTACATAGATTGATAAACTGAGGACTTGAATACCAGATGATTTCATGAGAAAACGACCACAAAACTCAAGTAAAATTAGATAATAACATGTATCGTTAGAAAACGATGTTTTTTAATTCTCAATAAGATTCATATTACGCCCACTATACATAATAGAGAACATAGAATACCATATTATCTGATCAATGAGATGGAATGCGGTGATAGACAACAACAAAGTATAATCATTGATATTTCTGTAAACAACTGAGGTCAACAGAAATACGTTTTTGTCAAGAAAATGGTCAGATTACTTACACTGAGATAATAGAATTATAGATTTTACTTTGAAAATGCTATGGAATGTAGCAGGAATGATAGAATGTGGTGTTATGTTATTTTCATTTCGGAAAATCGGACAAAATTCACAACTTTTTAGATCTTTTTCTCAAGTGCACCTAATTCAAAGTGCTTTGCATGATTAGGCCAATTGGAGAAATTCGATCGAAATGTATCTTCCTCATGGAACATTCCGTTTCCGAGTGTGTGTAACCGTCGTCATATTTGTGCTTTTGTGACCCTAATATTTTCGACGTGTTTTCGGCGTCCATGCCACTCCAATGGCCAATAATCTATGTATTTTCAACGTAACAACCGACCCCACATGTCTTATGTTTTGTAAATAGCACATTTATTTGATAAAAATATTTATTTTATGAAATAGCTCTGGAGCGGTATGTCGCCTTGTTCGTCAATATGTAGCGAAAATACTTTGTAGTTTATCTGGTACATTACAGTGTCACGTGTGTGGTTGGTCTTTCATATTGAATTATCACACTTATGTAAAAAATACATGAATATTAGCATGCGACTACCAGCCATCTGTAAACGTACAAAAAGTTAACATGCATTTATATTGTGACTGCCTAAACTATAAAATTACATGCTTGTCTGAGGAAGTTGAAATGCTGTTAAAACAGAGTTATGAATAATTCATGGATGTGACAGTGGATTAAATACGTACACCGAGTTTTCGTTGAGTGTGTATTAGTAGAATTACCTGAAGAGCACAATGGTGACTGTGGTGACGAGATATACGGAGTTGCACACATTTTTGTTACTGAAGCCTGACGTGGTTTATGTCGTTTGAGTGATATGCGCGCGACCTCGTTTGTTACCAAACCGTACTAATGCGCTATAAATATAACAATAAATATGATTATCCATGACGAGCAGATGAAACTGACTTTCATGTGGCAAACAAGTGTGCATCTTTGAAATATCAGATCTAAACCACATGTTCTGCCGTACACTTTTTCGGGAATAGTATAATAATTGAAGTAGTCTGAAAACGTTTATGGTTAATGGATGATGCAGCATGCTGTTTTATATATGAACGAATATATAAGATGAACACAGTCGTTATTTATGCAGCGTTGAATATCTGATGTGTATATTGACATTAAAGTAAGGATCGTCGATCCGTTCAGATAGTATCTAAATGGGAATCTTCTTCCACTTCATTTTTTCCTTCTTTAGAAATGTTTGTAATTTTGGTTCTGTTGCTTTTGTACTATATAACTTCTCAACGTTCGTCTCTTGATTCTTATGTAACTACTATTCTATTGACCATCCATTATGAAATTCTGTTCCTTCTCTTTTTCTTATATTACGCAACGTAGTAACTTCTTGATTACTCTGAATATTATTAATCTTCTTTCTTCCAATTACTCAATGTTAATTTCAATGTCATTATGTCATTATTATTACGTAACGTATCCACTTCATGAGTATTATATCATTGGTGCAAATCATACTTATGTATATTAGTGTAGAGTTATGATGAAAAACTAATTGAAAAGAAATTTCTTCGCTCAATTCGTTCCTTCTTTATTGACCAAATGGCAAAATGGTAATTTTCAATATATAAAATGTTTATCTACTAATAACCCACAGACCGACAGTCAGTAACACCGTGGACTGATCCTTTGAACTGACTAAATCATTCATATGTTCAAGGTTAAACATTCATTCATTAATTTTTTAATCCCTGATATGTGATTGTGTTAGGTGGTTTAGCCTACTAAAGTAAGCCTCTCTCTGACTCCTTATTCTAAGCTGTTCTAAATTGTGTAAATCTCATAAGTTTAACTGTCAATGTTGGTCATTCGATAAACTACCAATGCGTGTAACTGTCCATGAAAGTAATAGTCAATACACTATCGTGGAAAATACGGTAAGGGAAAGATGATAGAAAGTCAAATTATAGTATCTAGTTGTTTAAGTGTAATCGATATAAATAAATAAAAGAAAACACCAACTGAGAACTTATCCGACATCTATTAAGTGGTTACTTTAACGTTATTAGATAATATACCTTTCAGGTTACAGAACCATTCTTTGTCTGAACATTAGACAATTCTTTATACTTTGTGATAATAATTCCTTGATCATCTATGTGGTGTGCGCTACTTATATTGACATAAGTATTAGATGATGTTTGTCGTGAACAGACTGTCTGACAGCAGAGAGACAGGAGGATGGAACAGTAAAGAATGGAAGCATAATGCAATCTGTATGAAAATGCAAGAACAATGAATTCTGAATCATTTTGAGATAATCGATGGACATTTTGCAAATTACGTATTTACTATTTGATTGTTAGATTTTATTAACAGATCCTGTAATTTTGTATTCAATACATCCGATCGTTCTCACTGGTTTTCTGTTCACTACAACTATACAATTGAATGATTTCTGTTAATATGTTGATGATTTATGAACTTGAATCATTTGGGAAAGTGTTATAAGAAATAGAAGGTTTTCTATTAGTCATAAATTTCATCACATCTGTAGTAAAAGTTGAAGTCTGTTATTAAAATTTCTCAATGACTTTCGGTTCATTGATATGATGAATCTATTCGATAGTAAGCTGTGAAAATAATTACTCTGCATTGTAAGATGATCACATTTAGATATGTAATTATTTGATAAAGTCTAAAGATCCTAGATTTGATCCTTGATGAGATCATTATTGAGGTGTTACATTTAAAAATGAGATCGACTTTCATTGCTTCCTAATCTTGAATGAATGTCTAACCAATATGATGATATAAACAAGAAAATTTAACTTATAAATCTAACAATAAAAGGAAATACAATTATAGAATTCATGAGTTAATTGAAGCTAGACCATCATAGAAAATCTGTAATCACTAGACGACCAGTTCGTCCTAATATGTTGACTCCTCAGCATCAATGATCCTGACTCGTGAGATTCGAACCGAGGATCTACCAGTCTCATGCACGAGAGTTTAATCACTACATCACCAAGATGAAATGGTCGTCCAGTGCTTTCAGGTTTCTCATGAAAGTCCAGTTACAAATTAACTCGTTATCAAATAAGATTAACAAAGTTTTATACTTTTCATATTCAATTCTATCATTTTGTTTTAATTTTTTTTAGATAGATTGATCAGAAATGAATTTATCATAATGATTGTCAGTTGTGTCATTTCATTACTGACTATTCTTACATTCATTTATGGTTTATTATATATTCAAAGAAAATGTAAATATATTGAATGGTCTAATCATCATTATTTCTGTATAAAATGTAAATTAACATTGAATAGAACAACCTACAATAAAAATGATAGAAGGTAATGAGAATAAACTTTATTTTTTTGAGCGTGGGTTTATGGGATTACAGTGAATGTTCACAGTGTGAATACTTTCCCATTGTTGTTAAGGGCTGTAGTTGATCAGTCTCTTGTTGATATACGTGCATCCTGTGAGGATTGTCCCAATATTGGCTTAAATCACAAGCTTTATAAGCAAAGGTGGATATCAAGTGATTTTAAACTTCATCCCATTGTACAAACAGGTGGCTAACAGGATTCAGTAGCTAAGTGGACAACGATTACAGTGAATGTTCACAATTTGTAGTTTATATCATGAACTGGCTTTTGACTAAACAACTATAATGTGAATTCATTTGGTATTGTTTGTTTGAATAGTCTCATTATTGTTTAGGATTATAACTGATCAGTCTTTTGTTGACATGTATGTATCCTGTGCGGACTGTCTCGATATTGTCTTCAGCCACAAGATTTATGAGCAACAATGGATATCAAGCGGTTCTAAACTTCATTCTATTGCACAAGCAGGCGGCTATCAGGATTCAGTACCTGATTTTTACAACGCAATGGAGTTTCAAGTGAACGGTACTGGGTTCGAGTCCCGGAGTGAACATCAACTCAGGTGCAAGTAGATGCAGCTGACGAATCCCATATAGGACGAAATACGCATCCTGGATTCCACTGCTAGCTATTGACCATCTTTGCTTATAAAATTATAATGTGATTTCTTTGGTTTTTATAATTGAACACTATTTATTCTAAAAATAATACTCTTTTCAAAATGAACTAGAATATAGAAGTATTTCTGAAAGCCTAGCAAGAATTAGTAAACTATAGAGTTCAAATATACAGATCATTGGAGCAACGTCACTAATGGTGATGAAATCATGTCGCACTTTGTCAAAAATCGACTGAAGTTTAAATCATCAACCAAAGAGTGTAATACTATTAGCGAAGATTTTAATCATACTGTTGTTGATATTTAAGACTGAATTTTAATCAATCTTTGTTGACATACGTCAATCCTGTGAGGATTGTTTCGATAAAGTCATTGCGAAAAATGACTTGGAAAAGCTAGTTATAAATAGTAGTGGAGTCTAGGAGTCCTATTTCGTCTCATTCAGAAGTCGTCAGTTGTATGTATATGCATTTCAAAGCAAGTGTTCTCAATGAACAAGTAATTGACAATCTAAACTCAGACATTCTATGAATGAAACATTAGTGTTTAGAGAAAAAGGGAATTGGCTCAAGTTCAGATGTTAATAACTGCACTAGGATGCGAGTAGATTCAGCTAGCGAATCCAAAATTGGACGAGACTGGAGTGTTAAATTTTACTAAGTTGTCTAATGTTAATCACTCCTCAATAGATACGTAATTTAATTGCTAAATGTTAGATGGTAAATACTCTCCACTGTGAAATTTTGTACTAATATAAAACAACTGTTCAGTACAACTTAATCTCTAGTACTTGCCTGACAATGGTCAATCTATAAAGTGTATGTTAGAAAAGGAATGTCATGTATAAAATGTATATCATTTCGTTGTTTCTCTTTTTAATAGATACAATCATAAGACAGTTGGATACTTTGCAGCAATGGACTTGTCAGGAGTTATACAAAATTCACTTATTGATGATAATCATTTGAATGTAATTAATAATAAAGAAATTAATCGATCACTTAATCAGCCTAATTTGGTAGGTATTTTAAAGAAATATTTTAATCTACTTATATCATTTAAGTAGTTATTAAGTTAATAATAAAACTAATGGCATTGTATAGTATAAACTGGATTCGAAGTAAAATGATTGATTAAGAATCTCACATTTTTGATTGATAAATCAAACCAATTAAGGCAAACATTTTACACATATATCAGGAACTAACTGTAAGATTTAAATTCATCACCAATGGAGTAGATCGTTTTGTGGACATTTAATACAAGATTCTTGAACTATCCATCTGTAATGAACGGGAACATAGGCGAGGATAATCAAATGGCTATGAATAAAACAATACAGAATCTTTTAATAAAGTCTGAGAACCACACTGTAAATCCCTGATTTTCAGAATGTCAATCAATTGTTTCAGACTTGATTTTTCCTTTTTCTTTCCATACCAATCATTCTCTGTCCTCGTTCTCTTCTCTTCAATCTGCATAACATTCTGTCGTCAGACATTTCACTTTTGATTCATGATACTTATATTTGTCGACACCAGTAGCACACACCACAAATCAAGCCTTAGTTGTAATACTGAAGTATTTAATTGGTGTACTAAACATGAAGAGTTGTGAAGTGAGATAACAATTATTCATGTTAAATATGACGGGAATAAGAGATAGTCTATTCATCTTATTAATTGAGTGGTTGAAATATATTCAGCTTTAGGTAAATGTAAACAATAAATGATTGACAATCTGTTTTCTATATTCTTTTGAACGGTATTTAGAATGATCGCACAGTTCCTATAAATCTACATGATGATTACGTAACAAGTAATCCCATTTTACATGGGCAACAATCAACTTTACATGAGACATTTTGTTGTGAATATAAAAGTAAGTGATCACTGAATATTTCAAACAATTGGTTCCTTTTATGAATTTAAATAAAGCAAGAACAAATAATGGTGCAGAATAGTATGAATTCATATTATTTCGAGGTTTCTCGTCAGCCAATATATTTATGGGAAATCTAGAACAAAAAATGCTTAAGCACGCAATCGATGGTACTACACTTTATTGCAGATATATTGATGACACATTCCTCGTCTGCAACAATCACGAACACGCCATTCAACTACTCGATCTATTTAGTAAAGCACACAAGGACATAGAGTTTACTATGGAACAAGAAGCCAAAGACAAATTCTATTTCCTTGATGTTGGGATCCGACGAACATCTGACGGTAAATTACATAGACATATTCACCATAAAAATACCTAGAGTGGTATATATCTCAATTACCATAGCTTCTGCCAAATGAGTTACAAAAAGAGTATTGTACGAACCCTTTTTGACCGCGCTCAAAAAATCTGTTCAAAAGAATACCTTGATGATGAAATTAATCTGATTACTAATGTTCTACGTGATAATGAATACCCATTGAAATTTATCCAGAAATATGCAAAAAGCAATCCTCGTACAAAATACGATGGAGTAGAAAGAAAAACCTGCTTCTTACACTTACGTTTCAAAGGTGATGAAATTGCTGGAATAATTAATCACAGAATAAACTCTGCGTTGAAAGTCACCTACCCAGCAGCAAAACTTATGACAGTATGGTAAACGAACTGCTCACTTCAACAAACTAAAATCGACAAGTCCTCTTTTCTTAGTAGCTCCAACTGCATCTACCAATTCACATGTACGTGCCAAAGCACATACATTGGAAGAGCTGAGAGAAGAGTGCATGTCCGCATTTCTGAGCACGTTCCAAAGAACTTGAGGCTGCGTGGGACCAGGGCTTTCAACAGTGCAATAGCTCGACATCTACTTGACACCGGGCACACCATCGACATTCCTCATGCTTTCAAAGTTATCAATAGACAAAGAAATACGACCACCCTCCGTTTTGCTGAAGCCATCATGATCAAAAAACTTAAACCTGACTTATGCATCCAAAAAGAGACTTTAATTAACTTATCACTACCCTGGTAACCCCTTTTTATTTTATTATTTATTTATTTATTTATTTTAAAATATTTATACTCTTCCCCTACTACATAATTCTTAAACCACATTATCATTCACACATTTCCGCCACCTGATCCTCTTAAATTATCTTAACTTTTCAAATTCTATTTTATTATTATTACGTAACCTATCTTATAATTATTCAATTCCATTATTACACCACCCAACCGGAATTAATTCCTTTTGACCTCTGACCTGTTCTAGCATATATAGCATATATATATTTATAATTATTATTGTAACCCAGTTATTTACACTCATCTATGTCAATTGTTTTCACTCTATCTCAATGTAAAAAAAATTCTATCACAATTTTGGTTTGTAAGCAGCTGACGAGAAACCTCGAAATAATATGAATTCATACTGTTCTGCATCAATGTTTGTTCTTGCTCTATTTAAGATCACTGAATAATTACCACATGACTATATTCTAGTGATTGGTGATTTTGATGAAATGGTGTGTTGTATTTTTCAGTGAAAATAAGTATTGACTTATGTATAAGATGAAAAGTAACATTGTTCACTATGGATTATTGGATCAATAGAGTTTCCCTATGTTTACTGTGTGACAGTTTCTCCTTAATGTTATTGCACAATAGTTGTGCAATAAAGCCAATTTATCGCGGTGAGATACATGAAACTTTGGATCCGGACCTTAGGGTATAAAAGGTTATCCTTCTATGCGTGACCCAGAAGTCCCAAGTTCGATCTGTGATGGTTTCAAGGATATGTGTTGTTGAGGAATTCCATATCACGGCAAAACCGGCATCTAAAACTTCTTGATTTAATTAGTTATCTGACTATTATTAGTTTTTAACATAAACCACGAAATTCCTCGATGTTATACTTTACTGAAGAAATTACTTACGTCTGAAAAAACACATGACTGCTGATGTAGAAAACCAGTTAGTAAACACTTCTAGACTGATCAACTTCTACAGGTGTATCAATTGTCGATGTAGAAATTTCAAAAAGCCAATTGTTAAGAATTCTGAAATGGTGAATTAGAAGCATATAGAATTACTTCCGAGTATGATTGAGTACGGAAACGAAAGACGTTAGATGTTGTTCATGATAATGTTATGTATTTATAACAGATCACGTGAAATTGAGTTTGTTCACAATTAATTCAATCAAGTCATTTTATTAAATTATTAACGAACTGAGTCATCCTAACAACAACTTATCTATATCATTGTATCTTTATTACTATTGAGAATGTATGAACATGTTTGCCTGAATATTGCTTACAGCCTACACATTTATTCACTTTGCTAGTCTTACAACTAACCACTTATTTGATTCAATGACTCATTCATTTCACTATGTATATATATGTTCATGTTATTCATATTCATTGCTCTCGCTCGCTTGATTGTACTCGCTTACTCATATTTGCTGCGTTATATAGAACGGTTATCAAGACGAAATGTATACGACGTTTAAGGATTATATCGAATACCGACCACCACATATTATATCGCCATGATTTTATTTAAACACAATTCACTATAGTAAGGAAAATCAAGAACTTTATTAAGTTCTTGATTAAATACTCTAAATAGATGGATCAGAGATGAATTAACGGCTGATACACCGTTGTCAGTACACTGATTTCGTTTTCTACACTGGCCTTGAAAATTCCGAATGAAGGCTTGCTTTGTGACATACTTGGGTGCTTTCCTCAATGTGAACCCTATACACTTTCAGCGTTTATTTTTTATTTTTTTTCTCCGCTGAAATCTGGTTTGTTCTCTTCCACAGTAGGTTATTACTGATAGTGTCTTGCAAACGAGTCCGAAGTATTTTGCGTAGGCAACTGTTAATCAACACTTGTATCTTCTGGATGATGGCTTACGTAGTTCTCCAGGTTTCCGTCCCATACAGTAGAACTGTTTTAACATGTGTATTGAAAACTTTGACCTTGGTGTTGGTTGACAGTTGTTTTGACTTCCAGATGTTCCTCATTTGTAAATACGCTGCTCTTGCTTTGCCGATCCACGCCTTCACATTTGCATCAAATCCACTGTGTCCATCGATGATGCTGGCCAGATTTGTGAAAAGATTTACACCTTTCAAAGCTACTCCGTCAAGTGTGATGTGATTATTGCATGCTGAACATTTGATTTTACATCAGGATTTGATTATTCTGAAATATTTTCTTTAAATTTATTAGGAATTTCATTGGTGAGTAATGGATCATTAGAAAAATCAGCGTTTGTCAAAACTGCCTAAGGATTTTGCTCATGATTAGATTCACTTGACACATATTCCTCAGATTTCTAGGACATTTTAGCATAAATATGTGGATCATTAGGACAACATAAATCTGGTGCAATAACATGAGAAATTCGATAAGAAGTTGATTGTTTTGAAACTTTTGTCTCACAATCATTCAGAGTGTCATTTAAGTCTGGATTGCCATATGACTGTATATTGCTTCACGATATCATGTATAAAGATAATGTAGTGTCGGTTATTATGTTGTAGTGACTCATATTTATCACTAGAACACAACTGGTTTAATAAAAACAATTATTATTATAACCAACTGTACCAGTGTTTGTTTTAATGTGCTTTTGTTTGACTGTTCTAATGACAGCTGTATTGTGCTTCCATTCTTATTCTTACACTTTGATTGTGACTCCGCGCGAATTCGGTTACGTTCTGTTACCAAGCTTGTATCCTGGCACGATCTCGGTATCCTTTCGATACCACGAGATCGCCAGCAAATATATCTCTACTTTGTCTATTAACTCTCTTCTGATATTTGGCTTCTCGGGGATTTTATGGATTTATTTGGTTACGTTCAACCTACGCCTTCTGATTTATTTGGCACGTGTTTCCTTGTAGCGGTGTTTATAGTTAACCTCAACTCGACACCACGCATAAATTGATGACCCAAGTTCTGGAACACGCCTCAACCTCTGGTCAAATCTTCCAAAGAAGCCAATTCGGTTAGTCTATGATTTATCTATCCACATCTGTCGCATGTTTTCATATTTTTTAATATATAATATACTCGACATGACGGATAACGATAAGAATAGTATTAATATAATAGACTCACATGTATGTGTACCGAATCCTTGTCACTTTTTATTCGCGTGACGATGAATTCCACGCTTTATTCGAGAAATTTTCCCCTGTTAACTATTCTCCCCGCTGACCCGGCTGCTTGGTACGGAATGCATTCGCATATGCATTAACGTCTACCTCCCAGCATCAAATGGTTAAGTTGAACGGTGTCATTGCCAACTTAAAAGTGCTCTACGAGCACACGAGAATGACAACTGGTACGAAACCTTATCGAACGTTTTTTTAGGTGTTCGGACGAGCTTGAAGGGAGATATACAATGTTCCGCCGCTGAACTGGTATACGGCACGACATTGCGTCTGCCCGGAGAATTCTCCACACCACGGAGCAGACCTAATTTTGGTAAATCAGACTACGTCCATCGACTGTCTGCATTTATGCAAACGCTGTCTCTGGTGTCAACTCGAATACAACATCGACAGGTTGCTCTCCCCCGAGAGTTATCTACCTGTTCACATGTTTTCATACGAGTAGATTCGGTACGCAAACCTTGGCAACAACCTTACGAAGGCCCTCTTCACGTGATCGCTCGTCACGAAAAGACCTTCAAGGTTGATCGACATGGCCGCGTCGAGATCGTCAGCATTGATCGTCTCAAACCAGCACACGTCAATGACAGTACCCTATCTGATACCCTGAGATCCAATGCTTGAGCTATTAAACCTAGCGGGATCCTTAAATCTTCTTCAGATCCCACGCTAGATACACCTGAGACCTCATTCTCACGTGCACGCGTCATTTGCACCGTCTACGGACGAGACGACAGTCTCACGTCCAGATCAGCAGACCACGCCACCCATGACCTCGGATGAGATTGCAGGCTCACGAGATACGAACAAGACTGCCGTCTCACGTTCCGGTCGCCGAATACGATTGCCCTTACGCTTCCGCGACTAGCCGCACAGTTAACAAACGATACGGTGT